ATGTTTTAATGAGATGCAGAACTGGTGAGAAATTTACACAATAAAACTGAAACTTAAAAGTTATTAAAACAATTAAAACATTTGTACATTGTGTTTGTATTTATAGGCTGTTTTTACGTTTCCTTGATTTTTTATATTTTTATTTTACTTGTTTTGTTCCCTTACTCTGACACTCCTTCTTGGGACAGGTACAGGCACATCCTCTGGTGTGAAAGCATATGCTCGCGTTACAATATAGCCAGGTTGTTCTTCATCGCTCCCACTGGTTTCATCATCATTCACTGTTTCTAGAGATGGAAGAGGTATATTCTCATCTTGAAATCCAATCAGTCGGAGATCTCTTCTTTGTACAACTTTAGCAACACCTGTATTGTCAGCTTTCATGATTTTGAAGGTTCCATTCTTGTATTCATCTATCACTTTGTAGGTCACGCTGTCAAATGTATTGAATAGTTTATTACGTCCTGGTACTCTTTTTCTGAGCAGAACTCTTTCACCCACGGAAATGATTGGATTGTGGACTTTCTTGTCAAAATTCAGCTTCCTTTGTAAGGCTCGAAATTTTAACTTTTGCAGAGTGTGTGCATATGCTTTGTGCAACCGCTTTTGGTGTTCTGTGACCCAGTTCAAGTCTAGACTACACTTGTCGTGGAATATATCAGTTGGAAGCTTTGGGTCCCTTCCAAACATTAGATAGAATGGGCTTTTACCAGTTGATGCATGTGGTGTAATATTGTAAGAGAAGCATATGTCTGACAAGTATTCCGGCCAATTCTTTTTCTTCTCTTGGCTGAGCGTCTTCAACAGATTCTGCATGGTTTTATTGAATCTCTCCACTTGACCATTACCCTCTGGATGATATGGAACGGTTCTTGTTTTCTTAACACCATACATTGTACACAGTTGACTAATTATCTCACTTTCAAAATTTCGACCTTGGTCAGAATGAATTCTTTGAGGAACACCATATCTTTGGAACCATTCTCTCACTAGAACCCTTGCAACAGTATTTGCTTTTTGATCTCTAGTTGCATGTGCTGTGGTAAATTTTGTAAACACATCTGATATAACTAGAACGTTCTCTAAACCACTTACGGATTCGTCCAATTTGGTGTAGTCAATAGCAATTATTTCTAATGGTTGAGACGATATTAAGCTTTGCATAGGTGTACGTATTTTGAAATTGTCTGTTTTTGCTTCAGTACATGTTTTACAACTTGCCACATACGTTTCAATGTCTTTATCCATGTTTGGCCAAAAGTATCTTTGTCTTAAGAGGGCTTTACACCTTGAAATACCTTGGTGGTTCAAATTGTCATGGATTTGCTTAATTGCTAATAGTTGTTTTGATCTGGGCAAAATTACCTGATGAACATGTTCATTTTCTATTTCAATTTCTTTTACCAAAACACCTTGTTGGATGCTTAGTTTGTCAAAATGACGAAATAGACTTTTCGTTGATTGTGACATTTTGGAATTTTGATCGTAGGTTGGCAACGTTTGTTGTTGGACATGTGTATACACTATGTTAGTTTCAGGGTCATTCTTTTGACTATCTGCTATATCAGCAGTCATTGAATCACTTACATTTGTGGCTGATATTTCTACATTTGACTGAGTATCTATCAAATCTTCCATAATTGACAATCTCAGTTCCTCAGGTAGACTTGTACCCGGGATACTTTCAATGTCACACATATTGACAGATTCTTCTGTATCCTGTATGCGAGACAAAGCATCAGCTGCACAGTTTGTTTTACCAGTTCTATATTTTATTTCAAAATCAAATGAACTAAGACTTGACATCCACCTTTGTTCAGTAGCATTGAGTTTGCTTTTTGTCTTGAAATAAGTGAGTGGATTGTTATCAGTATACACAATGGTTGAGGAATATGTGAGATAGTCTCTCAATTTTTCAGTTATTGCCCATTTGAGTGCAAGTAGTTCTAGTTTATAACTAGGGTAATTTTTCTCTTCTTTTCGCAAGCCTCTGCTGATATATGCAATAACCCTTTTCTTTCCTTCAATTTCTTGATACAAAACCCCTCCTAGCCCCGATAGACTTGCGTCTGTTTCAAGGATGAATGGTTTATTGAAGTCTGCGTATGCAAGTACTGGTGGAGATGTTAGTTTTTCTTTTATAGTATCGAATGATAACTGGTGTTTGTTTTCCCAATAATCAGATATGTTCAGTGTTTTTGCTTTTCGTTTTTTTAGCTTTTTGATTTTACCTTTGGTTTTCTGAGCTGATTGAGTACACGTAGCTACGAGTTCGTGAAGTGGAGCAGCAATTTGACCATATTTCTCAACAAATCGTCTGTAATATCCACTGAACCCCAGAAATCTTTGGAGCAGTGCTAATGTTGTAGGAGTTTTCCACTCCTTCACAACTTGAATTTTACTTGGATCTGGAGACACACCCTTTTCGGAAACAATGTGACCAAGAAATGAGATTTCTGTTTTGAAAAGGTGACATTTTTCCAGTTCAATTTTCAGACCATGATCTCTTAACTTGTGTAAGACTGTTTCAAGTCGTGATATGTGATCCTCAATAGAGTTTGAGTATATGATTATGTCATCCAAGTAAACTAGGCATGTATTGAATATTTGGTCTTGTAAGGCATAATGCATCAATCTTTGAAATGTTGCTGGACTGTTTGTTAGACCAAATGGCATTCGTTCAAATTCATACAACCCAATTGGAGTTATGAATGCAGTTTTGTGTTTATCTTCTTCACACATTTCAACTTGGTAATAAGCTGATTTCAAGTCTATTGTACTGAAATACTTTGCTCCATTCAAACTATCTATGGATTCTTCAATCCTTGGAATAGGATATGAATCTTTGATGGTTTTTGAATTCAGTTTTCTGTAATCGACACACATTCTGATCTGACCATTTTTCTTTCTACAAATGACAATGGGACTGGCATATTCACTGTTGGAATGTCTGATTATACCTTTTTGTAAAAGATCTTGTATGTGTTCTTTGAACTCAGAAAATTCTTGAGGTGGAATTCTTCTGTAAGGTTCTTTTACAGGAATACTATCTGTAAGAGTTATGTGATGTTTTATATCATTTGTTTTGGAGAGTTCATTTTGGGGAAATGTGTATATTTCATGATATCTATCTAACACATCTTTGCATTTGGCTTTTTGTTGTTCATTACCAGGAAAACTGTCTAAGTTAACACTCATTTGTGGCATGTCATTTTGATTGATTGTGTTTGTTGATTTATTTGTGTTGCTGATCATTTCAGGCTTTATGTCACTTACAACATCCACCATAATCTCATTGGATTGACATTCAATTGTTGCATGTTGATTAACTATCATTGCATCTTGCAGAGTGCCTATCACCTGTTTTGATTGTAACTGGATATCATGTATACCTATGTTGTTCACAGTTAATGTACATTGCCCTTTAGATGCATCAATGAGCATATTTGTGATTTGAAGATTGGATGGTAAGTTTTGACTTGCTTCAAAAACACTAACTTTTGACAACTTTTTGCTGGTTACCTTGACTTCTGTTTGTGAAGTGGCATGAATGACAGTATCTTGATCAACTCTAACCATACAAGATTTTTGGCTATCATTGTTTGTATTAACACAACCAAGCAGAAAGTGAAATTCTGGTAGCTGTTTTAATACATTTGTTCCAATGATAATTTGAACATTGTGTGGGTCAGTGCGGACCTTTTTCCTAACCAAAATGCCAGTGTTTTTGCACCTATGATTGTGTATTTCAATATCTAACATTGCTATCCCCAAGTATGGTACCTCAAGACCATTAGCAGCAGTTATATTCAACCATGATGGGTCACCGTCAAAATTTTCACTGTTTGAAATCAAATCATAAAATTCTTCATTCATAATTGTTACACTTGAACCTGTATCAACCAAACCTGTACAAGTTACGTTGTTGATTTTTACTTGCGTGAGTGGCTTATCACCAACTGTGTTTGACAATATATGTTCTTTTTGGTTTTCATTTGTGTGGGTGTTTGCTTCATTCACCTCTCTGTTTAAATGTTGATTTGACCTTGGAAATTTATCCCGTGGTCTGGGACCTCTGGGTGGTTGATTGAAATGTTGATGTGGTGGTGGTTGTGCAAACATTGGTGGAGGAACCATGTGTGGTGGTTGTACAAACATTGGTGTTTGAACCATGCGTGGTGGTTGTGAGTTGTTTTGATAACTTTGATTTTGAACAATCATTTGAGTGTGTTTTGTAATATCTAACACCTCTTTCATTGTACTACACATTTCACTGATTGATTTTGTCATTGTAGCAACTGATGAAGTTAAATTCATTATACATTTTTCATTGCTATTTGGAATTTCTTGAGACCCTGATTTAGACTCTTCAGTGATTATTGAGTATGTTACATCACTTGAAAATTTTGAGTCTACTGTTTGTATAGATTCCATATAGGATATTGCCCTTTGACGGAGATCTATGAAAGAAATTGAAGGATGAAGCTCAAGGAAACTCTTAAGTTCCCATTTGAGATGTCTGTTGTGAATACCTTCAATGTATTGTGAAACTAACATAGAATCACGGGACCTTTTTAGATCAGGTTTCAATTTTTCCATCTTATTGAATATTTTGACAAGTTCAAGTGAGTATTTTGTGATATCTTCACTTGGGTTTTGTTTTCTTGTATAAAACGATCTAGTCAACTCAGCTAATGTCGGAGTTTTGCCAAAAATTTCTCTGAGAGCATTAAAAATTTCCTTGGGAGTTTTTGGATTTCTAAGTTTTATTTCAACTTTAGCGTCTCCAGTAAGGTGACTAATGAGAAATTGAACTGCTTCTTTATCAGAATCTCTTTGAATAGCTGATTTGGCTTGATCAATCCACTCTTCGAGTGGTGTAGATTCACCAGAGTAGTTTTTCAAACGTCTTTCAGGTGTTGGAACTACTGTGATTTCAGGTTGTGAAATTGTGCTTATGATTTTTTCATTGTGTAATTGCATGAGTTTGAAAAATTCTTGGGGATTAAAAGATTTCGATTCTTCAGAATCTGACTTTTGATCACTTGAAGTTGCCATGATTTGACTGGTTTGACCTAACGATTGTTGTCACTATGACATTAAAAATTGATCTAAACTTACGCAATCTAGTTAAACACTTAACACTGGGGATTTACACTTTGAATTTGTTTTAAATATGGCTTTAGTCTCAATGGAACTTTGAACTTACATATTTATGCTGATATGGACGCCACTCTTGGCTACGGTGACGACTGTTCCTTTCTTTGGGTGGCTTATAGAACAAACGCAGTTGCAGTCCACATATAATACGAAATACATGAAGTTGACATCACACTTGGCTACGATGACGACTACGATGACAACTACGCTGACGACTACGCAGACGATTACGCTGACGACCACGCTGACGATTACGCTGATGACTACGCTGACGACCACGCTGATGATTACGCTGATGACTACGCTGACGACCACGCTGATGATTACGCTGCTGACTACGCTGACGACCACGCTGATGACTACGTTGTTGATTACGCTGATAACTACGCTGATGATTACGCTGATGATTACGCAGTTGATTACGCTGTTGATTACGCCGACGACCAGATTGTAGATTACGCTGTTGTCTGCATTTGCACCCAATGTTCAATGTTCAATGTTCACCCGCAGTACCATTTGTAGTACCATTTGTAGTACCATTTGTTGTACCCCACCCGCAGTACCATTTGTAGCACACTCAGAAGGTGGACGTATGTGCGTATAGATCAATAACACGTATTGTAGGTTTAAAATTGTCTTTATTGTTAAATATACCAATGTCTGGAAACAAAAACAACAAACAATAACATATATACAAACAAAACATAAAATCACACAAACAGACCATCGTTTCTTTATGAAACAAATGTTAATCATTAAATAAAGTTACCGCGTTTACATAAATACACAAATTCAAAATCACATCACTGCACAATGTGATGATTATAGGGAATACTAGTAATACACTTACGCAGTTGATAACTGCACATTGGTATTTTATGTTGGCAGCTTTACATGTTCATCTCACACTGGAATAAATAATAGCATAATGTTCATTGACGTTGGATATAATGTCCAATGATGAGAACATGTGTACACTCACATGGTCATAAAGATATATGTCAGTTGAAGCACACAGCCATACAGAACTATGTCTGTTGAAGCACATGGTTATAGTTCAAAGGACTATGTCTGTTGAAGCACATGGTTATAGTTCAAAGGACTATGTATGTTGAAGCACATGGTTATAGTTCAAAGGACTATGTATGTTGAAGCACATGGTTATAGTTCAAAGTTCAACGAGACGCCATATTGGATTTGTAATTTTGTACAAAGATTGTGTATAGAAGAAACGGAAATTCCCCAAGCTAACACTAACGTTATTCTAAGTAACAAGATGCATTTATTTGGTACAAAATATATCTGACTTGTCAATTCTTAGCAAGTAAAACTACTCTATAAAAGTAATGATTTTGATTTCTGACTAACCTGTTTTTGTTGTAACTCCTACTGCAGCAAAACTTTGTATCAAAATGTTGGGACTGATTGAAATAAATCTAGGTGTAGCTTTTATATTGGAAATCAAGTTTTACACTCATGCTAAAAGGAATATGTCCCTTTAGGAGCTCACAAATTATGATTGGTTTATATTCAAATACAAATTATTACAAACTTGTCATTGGCTGAAATTGTGCAAATTGAACACAATGTAAAGTGGGATTGGTGTATATTCAAATACAAGTTATTACAAAGTTGTCATTGGCTGAAAATGTGCAAATCGAACACAATGAAAAGTGGGATTAGTGTATGATTTCTGCATAACATGATTCTGTACTGGTATTCACTCAAGCGTATTAAACTTTCTATCAGCTAAAACTTGGCAATCAACACTGATGCTTAAAGGCTATTGCTTTGTGTACAGCATTATAAACTTTGTATTCATTGAACCTTACTAGTTGAACATATTAAAGCCTAATGCTTTTTATAAATGAGAATATTACTTTTAATTAAAATAGAAGTACGATATCACACATGTATGATCCAAAATTCTGATAAACTGCCTTTATACATTATAGGAACTAAAATCTATCGCATGGTGTCGTGTGGCGCAGTATTGTCCGTGGTAATATGTACGTTTATCGATTATCTTAAATTACAATGTGAGACATCTTGTCATATGGATGATGATACTATAAGTTGCATTTTCGAAAATACAAAAAAATAAAAAAAATATAAAAATGCATGAAAACTATGATCAATTATCGTCAAATTAATTTAGACACAAATCAATCACTATGTCGAACCAATAACTAATAATCGTTATTAGTATATTAGGTTATCAAGATAGTTATGTACGTACTCTTTAAACTGTTTTTAAGGTGTTGCGTTTTTATACACGAGTGAAGCAGCTAAACAATGCGGAGGCTCTGTATGGACGGAAACAGGTAGTTTAAGCAAGTTTATATTATTTCAAAAAATATTGGAAGCGGTCCGAAAATGGCAAAATGCCCCAAAATGGCTAAAAGTAGTGGCTAGAAATTTGCTGAAATCAAGGAAAAGAGCAGGTAAGGTATGGCAAGACATTTTCAAAGGCCTATATCTTTAGTTCGAAGAATAAGTTAACCACAAAATCAAATGGTTCTGTTAGATCCATGTCTTATCTTCAATAAATGACATAAAGATGATAATCAAGTTGATTGAATTATCTCTTAAGCTGTCCCTAATCCACCCATCCTCACCAATTTTCCCTAATTCAGATGCAATTTTCACCAAAAGTGCAGGCCTTTTTAATAATTTTTAGTGCAAAGTGTTATTGAACTTTAAGACATGATTTAAACTGTAAAGGGGAAAAGTTAATTGTAAACCTACTTTTTGATATTTTTTCGTGATTTTTTCGTATTTTTCTGATATTTTAAAGTGCTTCATACTAATATTATACAATTACAAAATAGAGGGCAGCTAAGTGCCATAAATAATTTGTTTGTTACAACACTCAGATAGTGACTTACTCAGCGTTATGGATTATAATCCTGTATTTAACCTTGTATTGTTTGTGTATAAAACAGTTGTGTCATTCACGTATAGCTATTTATATACTGAATAGTTCTTTGTAATTACATGTGCCTGGTTTTGGCTATTCAACCTAGATTCTTTGTTATATTAGGGCAGGCTGAAGTGTAAAAATAAAATGAATTACAGGGTGAGGCAAAAATGTCATCCAAAGAAATGTTATTAACTCATTCATCCAGTATGAGTTGAAATCATATTTAGTTAATTTTACCATGTAAAATCTTTTTGCATTTTAACATGTTTCATGGGTCCATTCCTCAAGGTCACAATTCTATGGCCATTCTACAAATTTCAGCCTCGTCCCTTCAGGCAGACCTGCACTGGTCGGTTGAGGTTGTAAGTTCATGGTCACAGAAATTGTTCTCCTACTTGTTGTAGGGGTTAACATTATCTCAGAGATAGCCAGTAGTCATGAGACGAGGCTGGCATTTTGGACCATGTTTCGTTTTATAGCCATAAAATCCCGACTATTGGGGCAGGGCCAATTAAACTTAGTAAAATGAAAGAACATTAAACAAGGTTTTATTATGCGAAATAACATTTTAACAGATGCGGAATTAGTTTGGGCTACAATTTTGGCTCACTCGGTATTAGACTGCACTTTGATAGTATTTATGATGTCATATGTTAGGTAAAAGGCGATGATTTAACCTACTTTTGATGGCAAATTAATTTTAATATGAATGAAATAGTGGCAGGTACTATTTATGTTTAATGAGCCATAAAATAGTAGGTTGATCTGGCAGTTGTTAGTTGAATTCGCTATTACTACTTGTAAGGGGGTTTCAAAGCCCGTGGTCACCTATGTAGTTTCTTCATCCTAGGTCAAATCGACTCAAGAATGGTGTTATATTAGATGCAGCATTTATTGATTTCTGGAATCACAGCACCCCTAAGCGTAATCATAATTCCGTCGATTGACCTACAGCATAGGCCTAGGGAAAGGTAGTAGGAAGGAAGGCATAAGTTTACTCTTTACTACTTTTACATAGACCTATGGCCTAAAGATAAGTTTGGGATCCCTTATTAAAACCAAAACCTCTATTTAGAGGTTATGTCACTATCGTGGCATATATGCCCGAGGTCTCAGTGATATATGGCCCGACCTTGGGAGGGACATTGATCTCTGAGAACCGAGGGCATATGTGCCACGATAGTGACATAAACGATTTATAACATACCTATGATGATGTAGACTGGTCAGAGAGTACCGTTTTCTTATAGAATTGACAAACAAATAGTTGAAATGAGTTTAGAAAAATTGCTCGTGCAGTTTTATCTTCGATTGATTGGTTATGACGTCAGCGCCTTGACCAATCAGAAAGTTAGCGGGCGCGGGCTTTTCAAAACTTATATTGGCCCGCTGTCTTGTGTACACTTTGCACTATACATCATCATAGGTATGTTATAATTCTAATTACAGCCCCTAAAAGCAACAACCCCGAACCAAGTGGCAGTCATTGAACCCAAAGGCATTTTTATGTGCCAACCTATAATGAGACCTCCTTTAGTGAATAACAACCAGGTAGTCATCTAAGGTATAACAACATGTTCAGTTTGTGATTTTATAGAAGGTCACTGAATCCTCCAATCGTTCATTCAGTTACGGATAAACTATGAGTACTGGGTTTTATGAGAAATAATAGCAGAGGGGCTTGGCCTGAGGCTATTAGTTCTCATATGACCCACTTCGAATAGTTTATCTAACTTTAACTCCACACTGATTCTTATGAAGGGTAATTGACCCATGATCCAAGTTTAGAAAAATTCTTTTGTATTAACTATGTGGTAAATGTGTAGAGAAGTGGGTTGGTTTGATTGGTTCAGCTTCAATGCACTGCATGTATCAGGCAAGGTACATTGAAAATTGTATTTATTTTGTGTTTACAATTCAACTATTGAGTGATTGAAAATGGTTTAATAAGAACAGCTTCGGTGCACTGCATGTGACAGTCAAGGTGTAAATATTGAGCCAAACACTGGCAATCATATTTTGTGCCACACTGGTTTTAGATAGCTGCAGTGTCCATTCTTCAAAAACAATACAACAAGAATGCACTCATCTTTCTTACTACTGTACATTCATATT